ACAGGTGCGCCTGCACCCAGGTCGTGGTTTCGACATACGCCTCTGCCCTGCGGACCCGGAGCTCCTTCCACAAACGGCTGATTCCGGAGCTGGACAAAATAAAATACAAGATGAGCTCAGGTATCTTGTGCCAGGAAGGAGACAGAGCTCACAAAGTGATGGGAACGTGTCAAAAAAGACACCCGGAAGCAGCTTGAGGCAGCTGCCACTGGTCAAACCTGAGACCATCTGAGCGTCAAAATAGTGACGTTAACAGATGAGAGTCCGTGGAATAGGATAGGAAACCGCAGTCCACAGTGGTAGACAGAGAGAGGGAGGGGAGGAAAAGAGGAGAGGGAGGGAGGACTGACCCTGTCCCTGTCTCAAAGCACCTTCTCAAGAATATTCGTGACCTACAAAGGGGGATCAGAGGACCTTCGCGGCGGAGCCGTCCGGCAAACAGCGCCGGCGTCAAGTGATTAAAGCCAACACCCCCAGCAAGGGGACGCTGGGAAACCACATGCCACCTGCTAGACAGGATGCCAGGAGAAGGCAACAGCATGGTCACTCCACCCGCTCCAGGTGCAAAGCCTGAATCCAACGCAAGGCAACGGCAGATGAACCCAAAGGGAGGGACATTCTGCAGCGAAAGGGGCCTGCCACCTTCAAAAGCATCCAGGTCAGGAAAGTCAAGGTGAGGCAGAGGGGCCGTCCCAGCCCCCAGGTGGACCATTTGCTGAAATGGGCATTTGTGGAGACACGCTTGGAATCTCAAGTGGATTCTAAGGTGGCACCATCCCCGCTGTTTTCCGGGTTCAGGCAGCTGCTCTGTGGCTGCAGAGGGGAACTTCTTCTGTAGGAAACATGTGAGGGTGCAGGGCACCAACTTACTCTCGAGCGTCAGATATGTTCACACTTAAAACAAAACCTGGGGCTTCCCTGGTGGCGCAGTGGTTAAGAATCCACCTGCCAGCGCAGGGGACATGGGTTCGAGCCCTGGTCCGGAAAGATCCCACATGCCGCGAAGAAACTAAGCCTGTGTGCCACAACTACTGAGCCTGCACTCTACTGAAGCCCGTGTGCCACAACTACTGAAGCCCGCGTGCCTGGAGCCTGTGCTCCGTAACAAGAGAAGCCACCGCAATGAGCAGCCCTCAACAACTAGAGAAAGTCCGCGCACAGCCACGGAAGGCTCAAAGCAGCCAATAAATAAATAAATAAACAAAATCTAAAAAAAACAAAACCTGACTTGAAAAGAAAAGGCGTCCTAGTTTCCGCTGGAATCGGCCTCCGTGTCCCTGCTCCCTGGCAGCCCAGGTATCACACCCCTTGGCCTTGGGAACCGCGTCCCCCTGCCTGCACTTGGGAGCTCTCAGGACACTTTAAAGGCCACTTCCTCATCCACAGGCACCTCAACAACCTGCTGTGTGTCCTGCTCACCTGAAAGCATCTCGGAGCAGGGACTGGGCCCTTGCCTGGCAGCGCAGGGGCTCGCAATTATTCCTCGAAGGAAGGACCGGAATGACACAGCAGCAAAGGGAGGCCTGGCTCGGCAGGACCCGGAGACCCCTTGGGAGGGCTCACACCAGTCCGAAGGGGGAGGGATTCACTGTCCTGGGTTCAGGACAGTGAGCTACGAGTGTGGCTCCAAGGGATGCTTGTTTACTAAAGCAAAGTGTGGAAAACGCTGGGTTAGAGGCACATACCCGGTACCCGGCAGTGGGGGGGGTGGGGGGTCAAGAGCCAGGCTCGCAACGCTTCAGGATGGGAGAAGTGAAATCTGAGGAGGCTTCCTAGTGGAGGCAGCCACTAGACTAGCTCCTACAGGAAGAACCAGGACAAAAGGAGGGGAAGTCTTCCAGCATGGGCCCGGCACACGATGGACCCTGATGGAAAAGTCTTAGGGGAGGGGGGCGCAGGCTGGAACGTCGGCACAAGGCAGGGACGGGAAGGACTTGAAGCTGGAGGTGTGGGCATGGGGGAGCTCTCTCTGCCGTGTCCCTGCAGACGGGCTTCCCAGCCTTGTTCTATGGAGAGGAGGCCTGCCGGGGTGGGGGGCAAGAGGCTGGGCGGGTGGTGCCCTAAAGATTCAGACTGCAGACCAAACGCAAGGGCCGTCTGCTGGCATCAGCAACCTCAGGACCTCATAACTGAAGCTGTTCCAGACACACGCGGTCTCTTATTAGGATCAGCAGATTTGGCCATGCCTAATTACTTTAATTAAACCCAACGTGGCTGCCAGGCATTTTGGATAAAAAAAATAAAGCACACCCGACCAGATCCAGAAGGGCAGGACAAGGGGCAACTTGGATCTGCCTGTGAACCCTTCCTAGTACCTGGCTCTATACACAGCAGATGCCCAGTAAGTGCACATGGCTATTATGCGCCTTTGGGGCCAAAAACCCAGCTGAGATCCACGCAGCAAACGGGAGGGGCACTCGAAGCGCGATACTTGGAAAACAGGATGTCACCTGTCACAGGAGAAGCCAGAGTGGCATTCTGGAACGAGGGGACGTCAGGCAAGGCCTCTGAGCTGGACGGGTCCACGTAAGGGCACATGTACAGGCACACAGTGACAGCAGGAAGATGGAAGGGCCCTGCCCACTTGCCAGCAAAGTATCCAGATCCCCCAGGAAACAGGCACGCACTCCCCACCCCATCCATCCCATGGAAACAGACACACACCGTGAACACCCTGAGAAGCGGGCCAGGAACATCCATCAGAAAATCAGCAAGACAGCAGAGGGAAGCCTTCTGAAATCAGTCCTGGAAGGGAGACCTAAGTCCAGGTTTTAGTTTTACCACTTACTACCTGTGTGATGTGGGGTAAGTCAATTGACCTCTCTGAGCTGTAGCTGTCTCATTCATGAAACAGGGGTGACATATGCCTCCCAGAATCATGACTAGCTCAGGGCAGGGCGGGTAAGAAAAGGCAGCTGTGATTTTTCTTGTGATGCCACCACCATGGACCGAGAGGACCACGTCGTCTCCCCTCCACCATGGAGGGAAGCTCCCCAGACAGCAAAGAACAGCCACGCAGACAGACCACCGTGGTCCTCTCCTAAACCCTGCACAGCCATACACGGTCAAGAGAATTGTTTCTTTAATCGTGAATACACAGATGGGGCCATCCACCTTAACCCAGCCATCCCTGTGCCAGCAAGAGACACACAAAGATGGGTGTGACCAGCCCCACCCTCCGTGAGAGGACAGGCAGGGGAGACCAGCCCTCAGCCACAAGGGGCCACACCTGCCCAGATAAGATCTCTAACGTTCATCCAGCACAGCACTAAGGATGTTCTCTACCCTCCCCTCACGAGTCCTCACAACCTGGCTATGAGGCAGCCACTAGTACTGTCCTCATTACATAGATTGGGAAGCTGAGGCCCCCAAAGCGGTCACTACAGGGAGGTGACAGTGCCAGGTTTCAATAAGAGCACATGGCCATGAAGACACAGACACTCACCCATCAGGGTCTCCCTACCGCCCAGCCCCCCGACACCCCTTCACCAGGGCTGGAGCAGGGGGGCTCAAGGAGACTGTGCCGTGTCAGCGTTGCTGGCCCAAGGATGGCTCCAGGGACCCCAGGAAGCGCAGGGGCTGAGCCAGGCCACCTACCACAGCCAGCGCGCCCTCTCCCCCTTCCTGGCCAAACACAGCTGGGAGGAGCAGCTCCAGGACCCAGCCAACGCCCCCAGCCACCCCCGGCCGTGCCCTGGGCCCCAGCCTCTCTGCCAGTCATCCAGGAGCCAGCAAGCCTGGGCAGCCCCTGCAGTTCACAGCCAAAGGCAGACACTCCCGCTCAAGGCCCAGCTCTGCCCTCAGCAGCTCCAACACCCTCAGTTCCCCCAGCTGTAAAATGGGGTAAGTACGTCCCAGCCCCCAGGGGGGTGAGGGCAGAGGAGAGGACTGGACCTGAGGGCACCCAGCCCCAGGAACTTGGGCTACTTAGCACTGAGAGGGCCCAGGATGGTTCTGGCTTCAGTGGGGCCTGGGGACCAGACGGCAGGCCAGGGCTCCCTCCCCGGGCCGTGCACTTCCCGTGGAGTGGGAGGGTGGCCCCCTGCCCCCTGCCCCCATCCCCTCAAGCCTATTCTTGGTCAGCGGCCACCCCCATCCTCCCTGAAGCGGGGGATGCCCCCATCTCCTTGGAAACGTGGTCACAGCCAAAGGGGCAGAGGCCAGGCAGTCCAGCCTGGAAAAGCAGTGACTCACTCCATCCCCCCTCCCCCGAGCCTGTTTCAGCTGTCACACTGGCTTGTGAAGGCCAGAGGGTCACAGAAGAAGGGGCTGTGGGGTGAGCAGGAAGGTTGCTCCTGGGCAGTGCTGGCCAGACCTGGGGTGGCCCCTGCCCCCGCTGGGCACCCAGGGCCCCTTCTGGGGTTCTGGGGTGGGGGTTGCGGAACCCGGGGGGGTGGGCAGGACAGCAGCCTCCACTCTGCTTAAGTCTTAGCCAAGTTCCCTCTAAGGGGCCAAGAAAGGCAGCGCCTGCCAGCCAAGCAGACATTTTCCTGGCTGCCCGGCAGCCACATGCGCCTCGGCCGCGACAAAGGCCACACTTGAGGGTACAGGGGAAGCATGAGGGGCTCCTGTTCCCACCAAGTCGCGCGACCCTGGGGGACTGGCGCTGCTTGCCCCCCCCCAAAGGGTTCTGGAGGAGGCTGAGGCCGGAGAGGGGGCGGTGCCCCCAGCCCAGCCGCTCCCTTGCAGACCAGGGCTCCCGGCTCCCCGCCCCACCGGGCCCCTCCCGCCGCGCCCCGAGCCCCTGTCTTCCAGGGCGTCCAGCCA